AGAAACACCAGTGCGAGAGAAACACATCGATTGGCTGCTCCCCCCCATAACCCTGACCAGGGCCGGGGACTGAACCACAACTAAGGCACATGCCCCAGACTGGAATGAACCCGAGATTCTTTTGTTTGTGGGCCGATGCTCTAACCACTGAGCAGAACTGGCCAGGGCATAACTAGTTTTTTTTTTCTTGATTGATTTTAGAGAGAGAGGAAGGGAGAGGGAGAGAGATGAGAGATAGAAACATTGATGAGAGAGAAAATCGATTGGCCGCCTCCTGTATGCCCCCCACTGGGGATCAGGCCCACAATCTGGGCATGTACCCTGACCGGGAATCAAACTGGTAACCTCTTGATGCATGGGTCGACATTCAGCCAATGAGCCACACCAGCCGGGCACTTGTTCTTAATAAACACTCAAAAAATGTTATTTCTTCTCCCTGACATCATTCTCTCCTCCCTTTACCATATTTCCCTTTTTATCTTGGTAGTCAAGAAGAATCTTAGATATAGAATTTATCCCAGCAACCCACTCTTGAAATTGGTGAATTTCTCTCCTTTCCCACTGTCTTTTTTTTTTTTTTTTAATTTTTTTTCTTTATTGGTTTTTAGAGAGAGAGGAAGTGAGAGGGAGAGAGAGATAGAAACATCGATGAGAGAGAACATTGATTGGCTGCCTCCTGCACACCACCCACTGGGGATCGGGCCCACAACCTGGTCATGTGTCCTGACCGGAAATTGAACTGACGACCTCTTGGTGCATGGATCAATGCTCAACCACTGAGCCACACTGGCCAGGCTGTCCTTCTTTTTAATTCTTTTTAAAATTGTGCCCAGCTGGTGTGGCTCAATGGTTGAGCGTCATCCTATGCACCAGAAGGTCACTGGTTCAATTCCATTTAGTGCACATCAGGTTTGCAGGAGGCAGCTGGTCGATGTTGATGCTTTTCTCTCATCAGTGTTTCTGTCTTTCTCTCCCTCTCCCTTCCTCTCTCTCTAAAAATCAATTTAAAAAAACATTTTAGAATGTTTTTAGAACATTTTAGAAAAATAAAAAATAAAATAAAATTGTACTTATGGGTTTTTTTCAATTCTCACCAAATCTTACTTTGAAAAACAGTTGAGATAAAAATAAATAATAAGAGGTTGGACACTCTTGACTGAACATGACCTTTTATCTCCTCCTACATCAAAACCTCACTGACCTCACACTAAAGAAATATAAAAATATATCAAGTCACAAAAGTTCAGAGAAGGTGGGAAGGCAACAGCAGATAAAAGTTCAACAAATATTTGAAAGGTTGCCCTGGCCAGTTTTGCTCAGCGGTCAGAGTGTCAGCCCACGGACCAATGAGTTGCAGGTTCGATTCCTGCCAAGGGCACGTACCTCAGTCGCGATTGATCCCCGGCCCTGGTTGGGGTCATGCGAGAGGCCACTCGATGTGCCCCTTTCACATCAATGTTTCTCTTTCTCTATCTCTCTCTTCCTCTCTCTCCCTCCCACTCTATCTGAACAAAAATCGAAAACTGTCCTTGGGTGAGGATTAAAAAAAATATGTATTTGGAAGGTAGAAGGCAGGTTGGGGAATGTTACCTTGCTCGAGGCATCCTAAGAAATGACAAACTAAGTGCCAGCAAGGGGAAATTGCCAAGAAGAAGCCAGCCAGTTCACCGAGTTTACCCTTCAAGAGGCTTAGTGTTTGGAATCACAGGTTACCATAGAAGGTCAGAAATGAGGTTTAGAGCTAGACATGGGGATTGGCTGATGTCTGTAGGGAGAGCACTTTGCCCCCACCCCAGACCTCCTCTCTCAACAGCCAAACAACTACTCTAAACTCTTGCTGCTTAAGGAGAAAGGAAAATGAACTCTGGGGGTCTCTATACTCAGGGACCTCAGACATGGTTTTAAGGGCAGGGATGAGATATTGGGTAGAAAACAGTGATAGAGGGCCCTGGCCGGTTTGGCTCAGCGGTTAGAGCGTCGGCCTGCGGTCCGGAGAGACCCGGGTTCGGTTCCCGCTAAGGGCACGTACTTCGGTTGCAGTTTGTCCCCGGCCCTGGTTGGTCGTGCGGGTGGCAGCCACTCGATGTGTCCCTTCACATCGATGTTTCTCTCTCTCTCTCTTCCTCTCTCTCCCTCCCTCTCTATCTGTACAAAAAATGGAAAAATATCCTCGGGTGAGGATAAAAAAAAAAAAAAAAAAGAAAACAGTGATAGAGGGAAGGCTGCACACTGCACTGGGGCTGCCCAGGCCCAGGCCCTCCCCACCCCACCCCTAGGGTGCCATAGCCAGGCACTTATCAACCTCACCTGCTCACCCTCCCTGGGAAAATAGAAAAGTCTTCTCCGGAGACCCTGAGAACCCAAGAAGGAACAAAACAAAACAAAACAAAAAAACTCCACTGATTGACATTTATGAGTTCCTCAGTGAAAAAACTAATTGTTGCCCAACAAAGAAATTTCTGAAAACTGAAGGTCACAGCACCTGATTAAAAGAGCCCACCAAGGACCTGGTATAATAAATGAGAAGACCAGCACCAAGGCCTACAATCATACAATTTCAGAAGAGGTTTTATTTTTTATTTTTTTCTTTATTGATTTTCAGAGAGGGAGGAAGGGAGAGAGAAAGAGAGAGAGAAACATCGATCCCCACTGGGGATCAGGCCCACAACCTGGGCATGTGCCCTGACCAGGAATTGAACCGGTGACCTCTTGGTGCATGGATCAACGCTCAACCACTGAGCCACACCCGCGGGGCAAAAGGACCTGCACCAAGGCCTACAATCATACAATTTCAGAAGAGGTTTTAACGCATCAAGAGCGAAAAAGGCAGGCCACAGACAAAGGCACAGCAATGAGAATGAAGTCAGGCTTCTCAACAGCAATACTGGGAGGCTCAATCCCAGGGAAGCTTATTTCTAACGTGGAATCATACACCCAAACAATTTAACGTGAGGTCAAAAATATTTTCAGACTTCCAAGGATACACACACACAAATAATTTTTGTTTCTTAGGAAGCTACTGGAGAATGTGCTTCAACAAAAAGAAAACATAAACCAAGAAGAAGGATGGAGTGAATCCAGGACATAGGGCGATCAACAGAGAAGACTGTCTAAAGGAAATCCCAGGACATCTGTGCACCAGGCTTAGCAAGCAATGGGTCCAAAGCAGTGAAAGACTGGGCAGAGGTCTCCAGGGAGAAGATGGAACTGATCACTTAGCACTGAACATTTGGAAAAATCACTGCTGCATGTTTGGAACACTTGGAAGAAAATAGCTCTAGGTACATGGAAAATTAAACAATTGGAAAAAGAAATTAACTCCAGGTAAAACCAATTTATAAGAGAAAGAAAATGTAATAGGCTACAGCTTCAGTGCACAATGTTTATTTACTTGGCCAATAATGTAAACACTATTGATTCAACTATAATTTGTGGGAAAATAAAGTATTGTGGGGATAAGGGGGTAAAAATAGGGGTTAGAGTGGGGCAAGAGAGCTAATTCTTCAATTGCCAGAATATACATATTGTCTACAACTGATAAATCAAGTAGTAGTAATGTACTAGTTTGCTAGGGCTGCCGTAACAAAGTACCACAGACCGGGTGGCTCAAACAGCAGAAACTTCTTATCTCACAGTTCTGGAGGCTCTGATCAAGGTGTTCAAGGTGTCAAGACTCAGTGTTACAGGGTTGGTTTCTTCTGAGGCCTCTCTCCTTGGCGTGTAGATGGCTGACTTCTGTTGTCTTCATATGGTCTTTCCTGTCTATGCATCTGGCCCTAATCTTTTGTAAGGACACAAATTATATTGGATTAGGGTCCACCCTAATGACCTCATTTTAACCTAATTACCTCTTTAAAGACCGTATCTCCAAACTCACATTCTGAGGTACTGAGAGTTAGGGGGTGAGGGGGACACAATCCAGTTCATAACAAGTAGTATAAACTCATTATTTGGAAATAGAGAGGTGGACACCAGAAGAAATAGCCAAAAGTGGCTGCCTCTAGAGAGACTGGAGAATGGAAGGAATAAGGCAGATACTAGTGATGTTTTACTGGAGCAAATGGGGAATTCAAGGCTGAACTCGGTCTGATGTCAAATCTGATGTTCTTCACTCTCCCACAAGATCTGGAGTTCCTCGGGGCCCTGCAGCATCGCTTCATCTCCGCATCTCCCACAGCACCTTGCACAGTGCCCTGTGATTTACAGCTGTGTCACTGTGCCATTTGTTGGTTTTCTTTTCTGTTTTAAAAAAGAATGCCCTGGCCAGTTTGGCTCAGCGGTTGGAGCGTCGGCCTGCGGTACAGAGAGACCCGGGTTCGGTTCCCGCTAAGGGCACGTACTTTGGTTGCAGTTTGTCCCCGGCCCTGGTTGGTCATGCAGGTGGCAGCCACTCGATGTGTCCCTTCACGTCGATGTTTCTCTCTCTCTCTCTCTTCCTCTCTCTCCCTCCCTCTCTATCTGAACAACAACAAAACAAAAAAAAGTGGAAAAAATGTCCTCGGGTGAGGATAAAAAATAATAATAATAATAAAATAAAATAAAAAAGAAGATAGAGGAGATTGAGATCCGAGGAAACCTCAAGGGGCCACAATATGGAATATCCAGCTGACAGTTTCCTGCCCTTGGAATCCTAGAATTGCTGGGTGCATCTCTGATAGCACTTTAAGTTTTGACCCTAGAATGGGTCCATCCACAGCAGGGCAGGGGCACCGGGTGCATTCCTGCCTGATTAAGCTAATGGTGGTGTTTTAACCCCTCCTCCTTGGGGTCCCGAACAGCCACTCATCCCCATTTTCTTGAGGCCAGTTTGGCTGATGAAGATGGCCATGGGCTCTGAGAGTTATTCTCAGATTCAGGGCTGTAGTATTATTCACAGTGATTGATGCGTGATCCCATGAAGGGTTTTGGTCATTTTTGTCTTTAGGTTGATCCACAGTTACTCATCTGGCTGTTCAGGCTGACAGGATTTCGCAGTTGTCTCTGTCCCGGAGGCTACGTGACGCCCTTCCTGGGAGCACATATCCGGTGTCCTCTGGGGAGTAGAGGAGGTTGGTGTGTATGTATGTCTGTCTCAGCATGCTTCAGATTATTGCTTCCTAATAAAATTCTGATAACTGGGCCCCATCAATATCTCAAACACATGTGAGGAAACGTTAATTTAGAATCAATTTTAGGATGTTTCAGACTGTAAAGTCCTTTTAACTAGATCTCTGGCAAAGATGTAGAAGCACTTTATGGGACTGTAAATTTCATGTTGAACCGTCTTTGTGAAATACACATCTCCCCTACACACAAGCTGTTCTCTCCATATCAATCATGGCCACTGCAAGTAATGTTTCACAAATATTCTGTAAATCACAGAAAACCCCATGATAATGTGAAATATGACTTTCACTTGTCTGTTAGACAAAAGAATCACACATGCCTCTCTCCCATCAGCACTAACATTTGTTATGGATAATAACACTTTCAATCACAACTATTTTTGGAAAACGGGTTTATTTTAAACCTTCCCTCCCCCCACTGAAAACACTCTCCCAAGGACACAGGCTCCTACAAACCACAGCCCATTAATCCAACTATGGAATGGGAACTTCTTCCCACTAACTTTTTTTAAAAGTTGTTTTTAAGACTGGCCAGGTGGCTCAGTTGGTTGGAAAGGTTGTGAGTTCGATCCCCGGTGGTTGGGGCACATATGAGGAGGCAACCAATAGATGTTTCTCACATCAATGTTTCCTTTTCTCTCTCTCTTTCTCTCTCTCCACCCCCCAAAAAATCAATAAAAACACCCTAGCTGGAGTGGCTCAGTTGGTTGGAGTGTGGTCCTATGCACCAAAAGGCTGTGGGTTCAATCCCCAGTCAGAGAAGTTCAACCGATGAATGTTTTTCTCTCTCCCTTCCTCTCCCTAAGCATGTCCTTGGGTGAGGATTTTTAAAAATTAAAAAAAAATAAAATCAATAAAAACATATCCTCGGGTGAGGACTTTTTAAAGGTTGTTTTTAAGAGAGTTAGTATAAAAGCCCAAGGTACAAGTTTAAGAAGTACTTTACCTTGGCTGACTGGCATAAGACAGGACCAGGTCTCTAAAGTCCCTAAATCTCTGACCCGGTGAAGTGAAGGGTGAGAGAGGTCCATGTTTTTAGCAAGTGCCTTCATCTCAGCTAAAGCCTGTGGTCCTTTTAGTTGCTGGCATCAGCAGAGACACCAGAGAGCTAAAATTTTAGCCCTTAAACTTGAGGCAGGCATTTACTTCCTTAATATTCTTAATTCCATTACAGCACAGCTAGATTTTCCCTGTTTGAGTAGCAGGTGACCAGTCGTAAAGGTGTATTTTGAATGTCACTATATCCATGTGGATGACAGGCTCACCTGCTTCCAGCTGACTGCCTGAAAAACAAAACCCCTAGAGTAACCTACAGGACTTCCATGGTTCTGAACACATTGGTAACCTGTCTGTTTTCCTTCCCTCTGTAGCCAACTTCAGGACTGATTGGCCATGACTTCCATAAAGGAGCAGGCAGCAATTAGCCGGCTCTTGAGTTTTTTACAGGACTGGGACAATGCCGGAAAAGTCGCAAGGAGTCACATCCTCAACAATTTCATTGAAACAAACCAAGGCAAGACTGCCCCTGAACTGGAGCAGGAGTTTTCCCAGGGAGCCAGCTTGTTCCTGGTACGCTTGACCACCTGGCTTAGACTCACGTATCCTTTGCTGAACAGGAAAAAAAAAAAAAGTAGGCCATTTTCAAAATATAAAAGGAGAGGAGATTATTGAGGGAGCTCTTCTCTCCATTCTAAGATTTTAGAACAGGACATGTGGTGGTCAGAATATCATCCCGAAAGTCAAGAACTCCCTCAACTTCCTGTCTTTCCAACCTATAAATATATCCTCATTCTCACTCCTAAGCTTTTTGTGCCCATCAGAGTTGAAGTTGGTATTCCTTCTGTCTAGAACTCATCTTCTATTGGTATTGCACTTGAATCCCCTCCCATCTCCCATTTCTCCTATAGTTTCCACCTTTGCCTCATTGCCAGCTTTTTTCATCAGCATTTATATCTGCTCAAATCTCTTCTACCTTATTTAAATCCCTGTCTCAAACCTATAATCCTCCCAGCTCTTGCACTTCATGGTGACGCGTCTAGGAAAGGTTTATGGTCTCTCTCCACTTTCTCACCTCTTTTCTCCTCCACCCACTGCAGTCGGACTTCTGTCCCCTCCGCTCCACTATGCAGAACTGCCAAGGTTACCAATGATTTTTCCACTGCAAACCCAGTGACTACATCCTCAGTCTCTATACATGACCTCTCAGTTGCATTTGTCAGTCAACCATTTCCACTTCTCAAAACATTCTTCCCTTGGTTTCTGTGATACCAGTTCTCTTGGTTTCTCCTTTCCTTCTGTTCATTCCATTTCTTCTTCAGCCAGCCCTTTACATGTTGGCGTTCCTTGGGACTCCGTTCACCTCCCTCTTCTCTAATCACTCTTAGATTGCCCCCGAGTGATCTAATCCATTGTCATGACGTCAGCACCATTTCAGTTTCAGGACTCTCAAGTGTGTACCCCTGCATACGTTTACCTCTGGAATCTGAGCTCCATACCCATTTATCCAACTACTATCTCCACTTATATCCTCCAGGGTGACTCACATTTCTGCCTTGGGGGAAACTGGGTGAATGGGGTGCCATTCTGTGAGAAGAGAATACAAGAAGAGAAACAAGTTTGGGCATAGATAAGTTTGGTTTGGGACACGTTGAGTGTGAAGTGCCTATGCTCAGGAGCCCTAGAAACAGATTGGGGCTGAAGATTTGTCACCATCAAGGTGATAGTTTGAGTTACGGGTGGATTTGAGCATAGTCTTACTCTGTGTGCCCTTAACACTCTATGGATTTATCACAGACCCTTTTATTATACATTTTTCTCCTTCCCTGAACCCTCCCCCTTCTCTAAACTTTTCTCCTTTAAAAAAAATTATGGCCCTGGCCGGTTTTGCTCAGCTGTTAGAGCGTCGGCCTACGGTCCAGAGAGACCTGGGTTTGGTTCCCGCTAAGGGCACGTACCTGGGTTGCGGTTTGTCCCCAGCCCTGGTTGGGTCATGCGGGTGGCAGCCACTCGATGTGTCCCTTTCACATCGATCTTTCTCTCTTTTTCTCTTCCTCTCTCTCCCTCCCGCTCTATCTGAACAACAAACAACAACAAAATCATGCCCTGGTCGTTTGTCTCAGTGGTTAGAGTGTTGGCCTGCAGACCGGAGAGTCCAGGGTTCAGTTCCCACTGGGGGCACATGCCTCGGTTGTAGTTTGTCCCCGGCCCCAGTTGGGGTCTTGTGGGTGGGAGCCACTCGATATGTCTCTCTTGCATCGATGTTTCTCTCTCTCTTCCTCCCTCTCTCCCTCCTGCTCCATCTGATGATAAATGCAAAAATGTCCTTGGGTGAGGATAAAAAAAAAATTATGTTTTTCTTTAGTGGTTCTTTTTCTTTATTTTGAGAGAGAGAGGAAGGGAGAGGGAGAGAGAGATAGAAATGTCGATGAGAGAGTATCTATAGGCTGCCTCTTGCATGCCCCCCACTGGGGGTTTGGCCCGCAACCTGGACCTGTGCCCTGACCGGGAATCGAATTGGCGACCTCCTGGTGCATGGGTCAATGCTCAGCCACTGAGCCACACTGGCCAGGCTAAAGTCCCTCCTTTTTTGACTAATTCCTACTCCATGTCCATTATTTGGGTCTCGATTTTTTTTTTTAATTTATTTTTTTAAAGGAGATGACCAGTTTCTTTCTTCTTTTTTTGTTTTAATCCTCACCTGAGGACATTTTTGCATTCATCTTCAGATAGAGCGGGAAGGAGGGGGGGGGGGAGAGAGAGAGAGAAACACTGATGTGAAAGAGACACATCGACTGGCTGCCACCGACACAACCCCAACCGGGGCCGGGGACAAACTCCAACCGAGGTATGTGCCCTTAGCAGAAACCGAACCCAGGACTCTCTGGTCCATGGGCTGACGCTCTAATCACTGAGCCAAAGCGGCCAGGGCTCAGGTCTCAATTTAAACATCACTTTCTGAGGAAGTCCTTTTCTGAGCCCCAGACTGGTTAGGTTCCCTGTTGTATATCCTCATAGCACTTCTATCTTAATAGTCATAACTTAATATCTCTTAATATCTCTTCCCCCACTGGATTGTAAGCCCTATGAGGACAGGAATTGCATCTGCTCTACTCATCTCCGTGTTTCTAACACCTGGCACAATGTCTAGCACATAATGGGTGCTGACTACATGTTGGTTAAATAAGGGAAAGAATGAGCCAGAGAGTCTGCAGCTACACAGAACTAAAGGCTTAAGTAAACACAGCTGTTTTTCTTACAGTTAAGTCATTGATAAAATTATTAATCAGACTCAGGCCTAGCACACAGGCCAAAGGAAATACCACTGAATACATCACTAGGTTGACCCGCATGTTCTTAGATACCAGTGTGCATGAAAGAGGCTTAAAATGTAAACTGCCAGTCCACCTCCCCACCTCCACCTTGAGATCCTGATTTAGTAGAATGAAGAACGGTCTCTGGGCTCTTTATTTCCCACAAGCATTGGGTGAGTTCGATGTGGTGGGGTGGTTCACACGTGGTGCTTTGAGAAACATCAGCACCTATAATCTGGCTCTGTCCCCACAACTCATGACGCTAACCTCACCAAGGTCATCAGCACCTCTTTGACACCAGTGTCCTCTTTTCCCTCCTTGTCTTACTTGACGTTTTCCATTTGACCACAGCATAGGGTATGTGAGACAGAATCGTACATGTGCAGGGTCACATCCTATCTTTATTTAAAACTTTGATATTTTCTTTATCGTGGATTTTTATATTAATATTTATTTATATATTTGTTTTGCTGGTTTGTTTGTTTTGTTTATCCTCACCCAAGGATATTTTTCCATTGATTTTTAGAGAGAGTAGAAGGGAGGGAGGGAGGGAGGGAGGGAGGGAGGGGGAGAGAGAGAGAGAGAGAGAGAGAGAATCATCAATGTGAGAGAGACACATTGATTGGTTGCCTCCCACATGATCCCAACCCCAGGGCTAGGAATCGAACCTGCAACCCAGGTACGTGCCATTGACTGAGAATCAAGCCTGTGACCCTTCGGTCCAAGGGCTGACGCTCTAACCTCTGAGCAAAATGTGCCAGGGCTAATTTTTATTTTTTTAATAATGCATTGAAGTATTATTTGATCACTGAGTTTTCTGGTGCCCCTTAAGTTTTATAATGAAGCAAGTGCTTCTCTCGCCTCACCCCGCTGCAGCCCCCTGCCTGACCACTGCCCCTTCCCAAGCTCTTCTCTCCTCCACCTTCTTCCATGTCTGCTTCCCAGCCACTGTTGCGGCATCTTTCCTACCCACCTGTTAAATGTTAGTGTTTCCAAGAACTCTGTATTCAGCCCACCTCTTTTCTCACCCAATCATTGCATTTATTACCAGTATTCTTCTCCATATCGTAAGTGCCAATCAGAGTGCTTATTGAACGACTGAATGAATCACACTTTTAATACACAGATGTATATTCAGTTTCTGCACCTGAAATTGTTCATAATTTCCTACCATTTTGTGACCTTGTCATACAACAGAGAAAATAGACCAGATGAGTGACCCCACTTTTCCCCAGCCCCCAGCTGTAGCGGCAACAGGCAGAGGAGCCTGGCTTCAGCAAACACTGTTTTTGCAGTAAAGAGCCTTTCCTAATGAGCCAATCTGTCTCTACTTCTATTGGCATCCTGGGAACCAGGGTGCAGCAGAGATAATTTGCCTGATGCACCCTCCCCCCCAACAAAGCACCATTACCTCCAACCCATTACATTAGCCTTTATCAGTCTTGGAAGCTCTCAGTCATCCTCCATGAGCTGCAATAATTTCAGCTAATTTCTTAAGTGTTCTAAGAGCCTGTGATGTGTTATGAGCCTAGTAATTGTTGACTGGTTCCTTTTCTGTTGTGGTTTGATTTCATACCTTGTATCTGAGCAGATGCGTGATCTGGGTGCTTTATTACAATGAAGCTTTTTGCAAAAGCTCACATTAAAAATAACATTAAATACTGAGGTTGTTTTAAATCAGAGTTTAATTTTTCCGCTATCTCCTGTTGTTCTTATTAAGAAGACATGCAATTCTTCATAAAGATAGTGACCTCCAGTGTAAAGCTTTGAACAAGTACAAAATTGGGAATTAATGATGAAGCTGATTATTTTTAGAGGAGTCTAAGAATGAAGCACAAAGTAATGAACTATGCTGAGACCCAAGGGTGCAATGGCCATAGCATAGAGAGGGCTTGGAAAATTGACCACCAGCTTTCTCCATGCACCCTTTATTCATCAGAGCCTCCTTGCTCTCTGGGGAGCCAGTCAACGCCAAGGGAGCTGAACTATTCCAGAAGAGCTTCCTGGTGAACCATGAACATGCCTGCCAGCACTCCTATCCGCCCCCCATCACCACCACCTCCACCACCACCATGTGTGTTGCTCCTTCTCTTTCAACCTAGTGGCCCTTCTCAGATAAAGGGCTCAATTCAGCTGTTGCTCATCTGAGTCATTGGTCAGGGATCGGACACAGGATATGGTTTCTGTGTGGAAAAGCAACCTGAAATTCACTCTTTAACTTGGCATACAGTTACATGACTGGCTCGTGCTTAGAGAAGCTTTTAAGGTCCATTGGCATCTTCTTATCATCTGTAAGCAGGTAAGTTCTGTTCTAGAGAGATTCTGGGTTCTCAGTTGCACATTGGGCTCGTGGTGTCCTTGGCATTCACACCATATGGGACCAGGGCTTCTAGTTATATCTGGGTACCTAGTAGCCCCCAGGATGGGCCCAGAGGTAGTGTCAGCTGTGATCCTGTTCTGGTTGCTCCCCTATCCCATGTTCTCCAGTGACCCTCTACTAGTCAGCATCCCCCTGGTTGTGAAATACAGAAAATCAACTCACACTGGACCAGGAAAAAGGGCTGGGTAAAATCCATATTTCAAGCCTGACTAGATCCAGTGGTTCAAAATATGTCATTGGCACGTGGTCTCCCCTTCCCTTTTTCTCTGTTTCTCAGCCCTGCTTTCCTCTGTGCTCATAGGCCTCATCGAGCTGAGATCATCAGAAGCTCCAGACATGCATCTTTGTATCCACCACACCAAAAAGAGAGCATATCTTTCCCAAGGGTTCCCAAGAAAGCCTCAGGTTTTGAGCCTCAATGGATCAATTTAGGTCACATGCCTGGCCCCAAACCAATGGCTACACTCAGAAGGATGACATACCTTGTCACCTACTTACCCTATCAAAACCACATGGTTCGTGAGTGGTGGAGGGGTGAATGCCCAAGGGACAGTTGAGGTGCTATTACAAAAAGAAGAACAGGTGCTAGAAAACCAAACACAAGAAATGTTCATTGTGTTGACCGTTTGCACTTCCTGATGAATGCAAAAGAAAGAATTTCCCAACTATTGTGTCACTTCACCCATGAGTATTTCCTGGACAGGAGGACAAAGTATGTGAAGAAAGGACCTTGAGATTCCTTAGAAAGTTTAGTGCCAAGAAACGTGACAAGTGTCTTATGTCTACTCTTTTCTCCCTCTGGACAGTAATCGGTACCTTACAGAATTTCTTGAGGTTGGAGGCGTCCTAACACTCTTGGAAATACTTGGGCTGGAGAAGGTCAAAGAGGAGGACAAGAAGGAATCCATCAAGCTACTTCAGGTTATTGCAAACTCTGGCAGGAAGTACAAGGAGCTCATTTGTGAAAGCTATGGTGGGTACTGTGTATGACAAGGGTGAATTCCCACATCTCCCTGGGGCCTGGGTAAGATGGGGCCGCACTCAGCCCTGCTGCAGGAAAATGTCAATGAGCTGGGTGCACTCGAAGCACGTTGTCCAGTGGACTCAGCTGGCTCCCATCCATATCACCACCCACAGACCAGATTTATGATTTTCCTGATTCATCATCTGCTCAAATCTTTCTATTATGGTTTTGGAAATACTTTTTCTACTTTAAATATATCCTTTCCATGCATCCATTCAACAAAGAGTTATTGAGCCATTGCCTAAAATCCTTTGTGAAATTGAGTTATGAATAACTCTAAAAATAAAATTAAAATAAAATCATTGACTGTGAGTGCTAGGTATATGCTAAGGTGCTGGGAATACAAAGATGAATAAAATACCCTGTCCTTAAAGAGCTTACGGTGTAGTGAGAAAGGTAAATAATCCAGGATTTTCTTTCTTTCTTTCTTTCTTTCTTTCTTTCTTTCTTTCTTTCTTTCTTTCTTTCTTTCTTTCTTTCTTTCTTTAACGTTTCTATTGCTTTTTTAGAGAGAGAGAGAGAAACATCCATGTGAGAAAGATACATGGATCGGCTGCCTCCTGCACACCCCCTACTGGGGATAGAGCCTGAAACCCAAAACCCGAAACCAAAACCTGAAACCCGAGCATGTGCCCTGACCAGGAATCAAACGGAGACCTCTCAGTCCATGGACCGCAGCTCAATCCACTGAGCCACACTGGCCGGGCAGGATTTACAATATGATCTATCAGGTGCTCTGATTAAGGCATGTAAAGGAGATGCCATCCCCTACACATCCCTTTGTCAAAGCACTTCCCTCACTGCACTTTAATTGTGCTTCTCTCTGTGTCCCCCATGGCCTCTTTGAGCCTCAGTGTATTTATCCATAAAATGGGACTAACACCACCTCTCAGTATTGTTTCTGGGATTAAATGACATAGTATTTGTGAAAACATTTTGTAAACTACTGAGCACTATGCAGTTAGTTATCACATAGCAATAAAAAATGCATATTTTTTTAATTTGTGCATTTTGCAGAGCCATTTAAATTTTTTTTTTTCCCTTTATCCTCACCCGAGGACATTTTTCCATTTTTTGTTCAGATAGAGTGGGAGGGAGAGAGAGAGAGAGAAACATCAACGTGAAAGGGACACATTGAGTGGTTGCCACCCACACGACCCAACCAGGGCCTGGGACAAACTGCAACCAAGGTACATGCCCTTAGCGGGAACCGAACCCGGTCTCTCTGGACCGCAGGCCGACGTTCTAACTGCTGAGCCAAACCAGCCAGGGCAGAGCCATTTTAAATTTTAAAACATTTCAATAAGCTGAGATGCCTATGCTGAAACAAAATCCGCAAGCCACATAGCCAGAGGTGAACAAGACAATGGTGCAACATGAGGCTAAGCCTCAATTTTGCTCTGATTGAATGGGCTTGGTTAAATACATCTTAATCCCATTACCTTGTGTTATGTAATTTTTTTTTTTAACTCACCCGAGGACATTTTTTCATTTTTTGTTCAGATTGAATGGGAGGGAGAGAGAGAGAAACATCGACGTGAAAGGGACACATCAAGTGGCTGCCTCCCGCATGACCCAACCAGGACTGGGGACAAACTGCAACCGAAGTTCGTGCCCTTAGCGGGAACCAAACCCGGGTCTCTCTGGACCACAGGCCGATGCTCTTACTGCTGAGCCAAACTGGCCAAGGCTATGTAATTTTTTAAATTGAATTTATTGAGGTACAGGTTTCAAGTGTACAAGTCAATAAAACATCATCTGCACATCACCCCAAGCAAAGTCTCTTTCCATCCCCATTTTCCCACCTCTTCCCACCCCTACCAAACCCCGCCCCTCTTTCCCTCTGGCTATCACTACAGGGATATGTGTCTATGTGTATGTATGTGTGTGTATACACACACATATATATGATTTTTTTTTTCTTAATCCCTTCACCTTCTTTCATCCAATATTATGTAATCTTGAATGAGGATTGTTTTCATAAGTCCCTTTCAATTTAGCATTTCCTCTCTCCTTTGTTCAGGTGTACGGGCTATAGCAGAATTTTTGGCAAAGTCTGAGTCAGAAGAGACCCAGGAAGAAGTGCAGGTTCTGTTGGATTCTTTGGTCCACGGTAATCCCAAATACCAGAATCAAGTGTACAAAGGCCTGATAGCGTTACTGCCCTCTGTATCCCCGAAGGCTCAGCAGTTGGCCCTGCAGACTCTCAGGACTGCCCAGGTGAGCCCAGGCTGCATGCTCCTGTGGTTCTGATTCGCACACAGTAATCTCACAATTACCTTCCACAGTTGCCTCCTCACAGGCGTGAGAAAGGAGCTCAGCCTCCCACCGCATGTGTGCTGTTCAATCAGCGTTACTTCTAGAAGGCCAAGGCAGGGCAGAGAGTTCATGTCTCCTGTCAGAGTGATTCGTCCTGTTTACTTAAGGATCAGAAAGATGTTGGCATACTTAAAAGTGTTTGAGACAAGCCACAAGGATGAGGAAAGGACTGTAGAAAAGATTACAGGAGTCAATTTGATGGGGAAAGAATTGGTGCATTTATAGATAGCGTACGAGTGAAAAGACCAGATCTCCGGTGCTCGGGAAACTCTTTTTTTTCTCTTGGCTTCTGCCTTCCTCTCAGACAGTACCCTGGAAGGTGAGCAAAGTCAGATTTGGGGCATGGTGACCACAGGAAGACAACTTGCCTAGTAAGGGGGGAATTCAAGACTCAAAGAATGCTTGTGATGAACCAGCAGAAGCTCTCAAAACAGCTCTAGGATGGGCTGCAGGCAAGGAGACAGTTAAGGGATCAAAGACATGATAAGGCCTGAACTGTGGCAATAGGAATACAGGTGACCAGGTTGGACAGACATTTTGGAGGTAGAATGCATGGGACTTGGGGCAGTAAAAGGAAAGGAGTCAAAGATGATACCCAGCTTTGAACTTAGACAGCAGGGTGAGTTGTGTGCCATCTAGAGAGTGGGAAAAACCTATCTCATTTGGAAAGAGTTAGGATTTCTTTTTTTTTTACACTATTACAGATGTCCCCCACTTTGCACCCCTTTACCCACCTCCACTCAGCCCCTGCCACCCCTCCCCTGGCCTTTACCACTCTATGGTCTGTGTCCGTGGGCTATGTATATATGTTCTTTGGCTACTTTCTTCACCTTTTTTTATCCAGTTCTCCCCACCTCCATCCCCTCTGGGATCTGTCAGACCATTCTGTGTATCTACGCCTCTGGTTCTATTTTGTTTGTCAAATTATTTTGTTCATTAGATTCCACATATAAATGAGATCATATGATATTTGACTTTCTCTGACTGCCTTAGTTCACTTAGTATAATAATCTCCAAGTCTATTTTTTTTTTTTATCATCCTCACCCGAGGACATTTTTCCATTTTTTGTTCAGGTAGAGTGAGAGGGAGAGAGAGAGAGAAACATCGATGTGAAAGGGACACATCGAGTGGTCGCCACCCGCACAACCAACCTGGGCTGGGGACAAACTGCAACCAAGGTAAATGCCCTTAGCGGGAACTGAACCCGGGTCTCTCCGGACTGCAGGCCGACACTCTAACCGCTGAGCCAAACCGGCCAGGGCTCCAGGTCTATTCATGCTATTCATGCTATTCATGCTATTCATGCAAAGGGTAAGAGACCCTTCTTTTTTTGCAGCTGTATAGTATTCCATTGTGTAAATGTACCACAGGTTTTTTATCCACTCATCTACTGATGGGCACCTGGGTTGTTTCCAGATCTTGGCTATTGTAAATAACACTGCTATGAACATAGGGGTGCATATATTCTTTCTGATTGGTGTTTTGGAATGGAAGGAGTTAGGGCATCCTTTAGTAATGCTTTTTCTTTTTAAGCTCCCCAAATAATTCTGATCCTTAGCTCAATTGAGGAATCACTGTTCAGAAAATCTAGTAGAGATGCCCATTGGACAGTAGAAAATAAAAGCTGAAGCTGCGGAAAGAGACCTGAGGTGAGGATGCCAGTTTGAATTTCACGAGCAGAGAAGTGATAAATGAAACTATGAAAGTAAATAAGATCACCAGGTAAAATGTTCCAAGTAAGAAGAGAAGGAGCCCGGCCGGTGTGGCTCTGTGGTTGAGCGTTGACCCATGCACCAAAAGGTCACTGGTTCGATTCCTGGTCAGGGCACATGGCCAGGTTTTGGGCCCAATCCCCAGTGGGGGACATGCAGGAGGTGGTCAGTCGATGTTCTCTCTCATCAATGTTTCTATCTCTCTCCCTTCCTCTCTCTCTAGACTCAATAAAGAAAAAAATTAAAAATAATAAAATTAAATTTTTTTAAAAAAGAAGAAAAGGAATACCACCACTGCCCTGGCCGGTTTGGCTCAGTGGTGGGAGCGTCGGCCTGCAGACTGAAGAGTCGCGGGTTTAATTCCGGTCAAGGGCATGTGCCTCGGTTGTGGTTTGGTCCTTGGCCCTGGTCAGGCTCATGCAGGAGGCAACGAGTCAGTGTGTCTCTTTCACATCGATGTTCCTCTCTCTCTCTCTCCCTCCCTCCCTCCCTCTCACTCTGAAATAGCACCTCCTGAGCTAGAGGATTCGGTGGCAGATTCTCCTTCAGAGTCTTGGCTTTCTATCTCTGCCCCTCCTCTCAAGGGCCAAGGCCTAGTAACTTCTCACTGCCCTCACTCTCCCCATTCCGCCAGGCTTGCCTAGCTACTTGGAAGGCTGCTTTCATTCCTCCCGGATAGACAAGATGTAAAGAGTAACCACCTTGTCCTCTTTGTCTTGCCAGTCAATTGTTGGAACCACTCACCCCAGCATCGTGTACTGCGTGCTGAACGTGCTGCGCACCATGCACCTGGAAGTCCAGTACGAAGGTAAGGGAGGCGGCCAGGTCTGCTCCGCAGCACAGAAGGTAGCAGTGAGAGCTAGGCACATTCACTTTTTTTTTATCCTCACTCGAGGACATTTTTTTCCATTTTTTGTTCAGATAGAGTGGGAGGGAGAGAGAGAGAGAGAGAAACATCGACGTGAAAGGGACACATTGAGTGGCTGCCACCCGCACGACCCAACCAGGGCCGGGGACAAACTGCAACCGAGGTACGTGCCCTTAGCGGGAACCAAACCCGGGTCTCTCTGAACCGCAGGCCGACGCTCTAACCACTGAGCAAAAACTGGCCAGGGCAGCACATTTGCTCTTAAAAGTTATTTCCTCGCCCAGCCAGTGTTGCTCAGTGGTTGAGTATTGACCCATGTACCAAGAGGTTGCTGGTTTGATTCCCCATTAGGACACATACCTAGGTTGTGGGCCAGATCTCCAGTGGGGGGCATGCAGGAGGCAGCCAATCAATGTTCTCTCTCATCGATGTTTCTCTTTCTCCCTCGCCCTTCCTCTCTCTCTCAAATCAATAAAGGAAAAAAAAAATTTTTTTTTAAGTTCTTTCCTCTTCACAAAGAGCCTTGTGGAGTCCTGGAGAGCCTCAGCAGATGGAAGAGGCTGATCCGGTACTGATGGGCAAGTTATTCAGAAAATGACAGCCACATTCTATATTTTGAATCAACCACATGGTGCTTTAACGGTTGTTTAGAATCCGCCTGGCTCCAGAGCTGGCTTTGGTTCCCAGTCTTAGGTGGTGCTTCCCCTCTAAACAGAAGTCGGGTAATGGTAGTATTAGTAAGTTTTCATTTCTTGAGTACCCCTATGTGCCAGACACTTTCCATGCATCCTTTTATGTAATTCTCAAAATAACCACAAGAATGCAGGACAAGCACATATTAGGTATTTGAATATTCAAATGGATGAATGGGGGGGGGGGGTATTTTTACATTTTTCAAGCTAAAGCATTGAAGCAGGGAGAGATTATGCTTTCTGAGGTTACCCAGCTAACTAGATCCACACCAGATCTGTCCGACTCCAAAGCATGTGCTTTTTTTTTTAATCCTCACCCGAGGACGTTTTTCAATATTTTGTTCAGATAGAGTGGGAGGGAGAGAGAGAGAGAGAGAAACATCGACGTGAAAGGGACACATTGAGTGGTTGCCACCCACACGACCCAACCAGGGCCGGGGACAAACTGCAACCGAGATACATGCCCTCAGCAGGAACCGAACCCGGGTCTTTCCGGACCGCAGGCCAACGCTCTAACCACTGAGCCAAATGGGCCAGGGCCAAAGCATGTGCTTTTAACATGTAGCACTTGGCAAGTGTTTACAGGATATTTCCTTCCCTGTTCCTGTAGTGATTCAGAGAAGGGAGATTGTGTTTTCAACAGGAGGGTTAAGGAAGGGTTTGCTGAGAAAGTGGTATCTGAGCTGAGATTTGGAACGTGGGAAGGATGTAGGAGCAGATGAAGACATTCTGAAAAGGGGAATGGTGTAAATGAAGACCTAGACATTTGGAAATGCAGGGTGTATGTGGGGAATGACAGGTAGGTCATTTGGTGGAGGTTTGGTAGAGATCTCAGTCCAGGAGACCTAGAAAGGTAGGCTAGATTGCAGAGCACCGTCAGTGCCAGGTCGAGTGGTGGGCGCTCTCTCCAGTAGGCAGAGTGGAGCCACGGAAAAGTGAACCATGAACAGGTGAATGGCATGGCAAAGCACCGTCTCAGGAGGATGGTCTGGGTTGTGGTATGCTAAATGGGCCAGAGTCACAGGGAGACTTGAGGCTGGAGGCCAGTTGGGAAGCCTTTTGGGTTGTTCATACAACAAAATGGGAAGGTACTGATCTAGCTGAATACAGAGGCCCAAAAAGAGAAAGAATGGACAAGACAGAACTGCCTGGGTGTGGAGAATGAGATGGCATGTGGAAGGGGGAATGGGCAGGGCCGAGAGGCCAGGACAGCGTGAGAAGTCTGGGCATCAGAACATATAGGGACTCCTGTGTCCAGAGTGACAGGCTGAGACCCAAGTCCAAGAAGTCTGGGAGGGGCAGAAGGAGCAGGCAGGTCCTGGGGTTCAGGTGTGCAAGTGAGATCCTGTGGAAGATCAACAGAGGTCAGATGGCTCACTGCTATCAGTTACTTTTTGGAGGCATTGTTGAAATTGAATGTCAGTTGTATTTTTCCTTCAGCAGCATTGTCGATTTTGTATTTGTTTGACCCCTGCAAGTATGTGTGGGTGTGTGAACCTTGTATATTGAGAAATAATGATATGTTGAAATCACTTACCAGCTAAAGCAGAGTCTGCTAGCTGGGGTGGAGTTGCCAGGGAGAGGGTGGAGTGGTAGAGTCACCTAAATGAAGGTCAGAAGATTGTGCTGGCACTGGACCAAGGAAGTGACCTGGCAGTGAAATCATGTTAGGAAACTTAATCAAACAACCCCCAGGAGACTGAACTGACTGACAGTGAGACCTCCCTCCCCAACCCCTCCTCCTCATGGCAGGCGTGACCACTCCCACTCAACTGCCACTTCTCAGCTTATGCAGTTCTGCTCTGAGGCCTTCCCTGACCTGCCTTCCACCCCTGCCCAAATGTCGGCCCTCCTTGCTTAGTACCACCCTTAGCTCTTCTCCCCGCTAGTATCTCCCTCCTGGTGCAGTTATCCCCAGAATAGTAACTGCCCTTTACAAAGACTGTGCACAGTCCCAGTGCAACTCTCGTAGTTTTCGTTCTTGTTCTCATCGTCATCCCTAGCATATGTTAGGTCCTCCATCCACCTTTGTTGAATGAATGAGTGAGGGAGCGAGTAAGTACTGCACATATACACCATTAGTGACTCCTTGCTTGTGTGTCTTTCTCTTCCAGACCTGTGAGCAACCTCAGGCAGGGGGCTGGGTCTGGCATCTTTTTCCAGCTCAGGGCCTAGAATATAATGGGTACTCAGTAGAAGTTTGTTGAATAAATTTATGAAAAATGACTTAGCTTTATTTATGCTGATGAACCCCTCCTGCATTGGAACTGGTTTGGCTTCTTCCCATATTGGGCCCAGTTTAGAGTCCTCTGCATTTATTACGTGACAAGTGCCACTGTGGCAGGCAGAGCATGAAGCTTTATCACTGCCTTTTGGTTTGATGTGAGCTCATGTGAGCACAGTGAAATTCTGTACCTCAAAATAATTTCAGAGATGCCAGACTCATAACAGGTGCCCAAGAAATGTCTGCTGAATGAATGAATATTATTTTTCACCAGGCACTTCAAAATAGTCTTCGTGTAACTTGGAATATAGAAAGTGCCCCGGAATGATTGTCCACCGGGGGGAACTATTTCACAGGGTCGATGGCGTGGAGGTTGAGGGAGAGAAGACTATTCAGCTTCTACTCGCATCCCTCCAAAGGCAGGGGAGGGACGTTCTGACAGGTCTGAGATGTGGTCCTAACAGTGGGGAGCAAAGAGGATCAGACATGAATTTCTCTTGAGTTTGAGGACGCTAAATTGCAAGACCAAGATAAAGCTTCGCCCTTACCCACAGGATGATGGCAACAGGATAGAGAAGCCTGTGACCAAGAGGAGCGGGTGGTACAGCTGAATGGACTAACCTTAAAAGGGCAGGACTGGGGTTTTGTTTTGTTGTTGTTACTCCTCACCATAGCATATTTTTTCCTTTGATTCTTAGAGAGAGTGGAAGGAAAGGAGGGAGGGAGAGAGAGAGAGAAACACTGATGTGAGAGAGACATATTGATTGGTTGCTTCACACATGACCCCAACTGGGGCCAGGGATCAAACCTGCAACCCAGGTTTGTGCCCTTGACCAGGAATCAAACCCATGACCCTTCAGTGCACAGGCCAATGCTCCAACCACTGAGTCACACCAGCCAGGGTTTTTAAAACAAATGTTAATAGAACATCTGTGATGTGCCAAGTATTACACCAAGTACTGGAGTTTTGTGCTTGTTTGTATTGAGAAAAATTAATGGTTTGGAAGGAGGAGAGTAAAAGGATGTGCACTCTACCTCCCATGCTGTGTGCGTGGCAGAGTGGGGGTGACATCCTTCCCCTGAGAAGGCTACAGGGAAAGCAGAATTCTCTGGCAGAGTCCCATGAAAACAGGAGGTGGAGCCCTGGCCGGTTTGGCTCAGCGGTTAGAGCGTCGGCCTGCGGTCCGGAGAGACCCGGGTTCGGTTCCCGCTAAGGGCACGTACCTCGGTTGCAGTTTGTCCCCGGCCCTGGTTGGGTCGTGTGGGTGGCAACCACTCGATGTGTCACTTTCACATCGATGTTTCTCTCTCTCTCTCTCCCTCTCACTCTATCTGAACAAAATATCGAAAACTGTCCTCGGGTGAGGATAAAAAAAAAAGAAAAGAAAGAAAACAGGAGGTGGAGAGGCTTAGGGGGGTCTGGGGACTCCTTTCATGGCCTTGGGTGTCAGTAGTGGAGGAGTTTTCTTTTTGTTGAGAACTCCACCTTCCCACTTCCAGATCTACCACCTGCCTGACCCACATTCTCTGCTCTTTCCCATTCCAGTGAAGTGTCCCTGTCCCATCAGACACCTCTTCTTCTGCTGGTTCTCTGAGGCACCTTCCCTCAGACTTCTCTCCTACAGTTCCCCACTCCCTTTTCTTCCAGTGAGTCCTCTCCATTGACATGTGAATGTGCTCTGTATCTCCCACCTTAATAAAGAGGCCTCCATTGTAATCTGTGGATTAAAAGAGATTTAAAAGACACGTTCCCGCAAAAGGGTAAAATCCAGTCGTAGTGTTTAAGGATGCATACCCCTCCTTGACCCCAGGTTTCCCTCCAGCTACTCATTTTCCCATTTTCTTCCTGCTCAATCTCTCAGCTACTTCTTTTTTTTTTATTATTGATTTTAGAGAGAGAGGAAGGGAAAGAGAGAGAGAAACATCAATGAGAGAAAACATTCATCGGCCACCTCCTGCATGCCTGCCACTAGGGATAGGGCCCACAACCTGGGCATGTGCCTGACCGGCATTCAGACCAGTGA